GTCACACATTAAAAGCTCATGTTGCACATATCTAGAATTGGCTTTGGTAACTATTTTTAAAAGAAAAGTCTGAGATACATTATACTCTCCTTTCTCCTCTCCCTCAAGGGAGCTTGGCTCTGTACATTTTTGGTATCCATGACAAGGCAGCTCCCTGAGGGATGGGGTCATTTGGTTTCTGAACAAGCACCTGCAGCTTGCTCAGGTCTTCAGAGACATAATTGGAGATATTTGCAGATATTTACAAGCCAAGAGATATTTGATTCCTCTTAACCTCAAGATACCATAACTGCTGCCTGCCAGAAATATGCTTGGACAGACCTAGAAGTGAGGCCTCACAGTGTTTCCCATGACCCAACACAGATCGGGGAGAGATCTGAGAACATGGGGCTGCAATGGTTTATCTTGGCCTCTGGGTTTGTTTTGGCTCAAACAAATATTTTGGCTCTCTTTCCTATCTAGTTGCCAGTAAAAACAGTGATACTTACCATGTTGAAAATGACAGTGGAACGCATGCCAGCTAACAAGAGGGCATTTGAACAGTAAACATCTTTTCAAGTTTTTTGTTATGCTTTTACAGCAAGACATGACAAAGAATTTGTACACATTTGTTCTACTGCTTATCTCAAGTTGCTTTCCTACAGGCCTTTCCCCTTATTTTAAAGTGCTCCTTGTCATAGTGGTAGAAACCATGTTCAAAACTATTTTAATTAATTTTGGAAGAACTTTTGCTTTTCTAGTTAAATCACTGCAAAATGCCTCTGTAAATTCTCATAGGCTAGGGTGTAACTCCTTCTATCTGCCCAATTTGTACATGGTGCTTACTCCACCCTCTTGTCAATGAGATTTCTGGCAGATAATAAATACATACTTTCTCAGAGTAGACAGATACTGGGGGAAGGGGTCAAACAAGGAAAAGGCACAGGAGGGTGGTACAACCTTTAAAAACATGCCACCCTACTGAAGTACGTGCCACATCACTGTTGTTTCCCAGTTAGTGCTAGTTTACATTTAATGGAGTATATACAAGAATAGGTTGCTGTGAGTTTTCTGGGCTGTATGGCCATGTTCCAGAAGCATTCTCTCCTGAAGTTTCACCCACATCTATGACAGGCATCCTCAAAGATTGAGAGGTCTCTTGGGGTTTATATCTATATAAACTTCACTTGCCTAGTGAAGACATCTCAACCTCTTAGGATGCCTGTCATAGATGTGGACGAAATGACAGGAGAGAATGCTTCTGGAATATGGCCATACAACCCAGAAAGCTCACAGCAACCCAGTGATCCTGGCCATGAAAGCCTTCAACAACACATATTCAAGAGTGTTGCTGGAGGGGAAAAAAAAGAAGGTATTGACTCCCAAGTAAGAATTCTGTCCCTCCCACCATGAAAATCTCCTTCAGTCTCAAAATTTCTAGTATTCTAGTAATTCAAAACATTAGTTGAGCATTTAGAGATGTATTTTAGGTATCCAAAGAACGGGGCAGGCAAAGCTACCAAAGGAATGAAAACAAAACAATACTTTTGTATGTGTCAGTCCCTATAATGCTAGAAACTGTGTGTGTGTGTGTGTGGGGAGGGGGGTGGTTCTGAAGAAAAAATTCATGCGAGGCAGACATTTCATTTGGAGTACAATGCCTTCATTATGCCTCTGCCTCACAGCTTTACTCCTGAACAGATGAATTTTCAGCATGTCATTACAATTACGGTAATGTTTTAGAAGTTATACATCTACATAGTGGGCCAAAAGTCACAAAGGAGTCTGGTACATAGTGTGTATGATGATATGGTATTGGAAACTATTTACATTTGATTTTTCACATATAATGTACGTTTATTTCATTCTCATATATATATATATATATATATATATATATATATATAGACACACACACACACACACACATACATACACACACACACCATATATGATTCTATAGAATTTTAAATTAGAAACAAAAAAGGAGTTATTAAATACTGAAACCCCTTTGGGACTTTTGGCCCACTCTGTATAACTGTATGCTGGGCATATGTTACCATCCAGATGCGACTGAGCTGGAATCTCACACCTCTCCATTTGATTTGCTTGCAATGAAGACTTCATTCTCCCATTTTTTTTTCATGAATTAAGAACACATGACTCATGTAAATGATGTTACAGAAACATCTGTTTACAGTATACACACAGCAGTCCACCATTTTATTAAGTATCTGTTATGTTTAATAAGGTAACACCCCTTCCCTAGGGCAGAACAGTTTATATCCCACAACACATTTTGGGAGTTTACCCAGTACTGTCTCTACAACACAGTATTGGAATGCTCACTTCCTTTGGGGAATACATTAATATGATTTTATATTCTCATTAGAAAGTCCAAAATCAACAGTGCAAGGATTTAATTTCTTTATTACACTCCAGAATCATGATTTAAATACACTGAAACAACTATCACATTTATGTATCCTCAAGCACCAAAATTTCATACTCAATATTTAATCTGACACTTAGAAATATGCCAGTGGATAGGAGAAACAAAAAAAAAAGTCTGTAATTCTATGAGGTGTAAAACCAGAGAGGGGAACAGAGAATATCTAGTTTAGTTAACTACTAGTGCATGTGTTCAGCTCATTAGACCTTTGGACTTATCCAGCAAGACACCTCATAAACTGAGGAGAATTATTTCTTTGTGGCTGTTAATTTTTAACTCACAAACCACTTTTACATGCATACAGGATAATTTTTGAAAGTGTTCCCCAATTCCATACCTTTCAGGCATCTTGGGTTCCAAGTCCCAGTTTACTGGCTTGAGGTTTCTGAAAAATAGTATGCACTACTCCAGTCACATGTACAAGACTGGATATCTAGAGTAAGCTCCAAATATATGCTTTATAGTATAAAGAGGTAGGCAACTATGGATAGTTTTGAGCCCCGTTTGCTCCCACAGGCCACTGGGTAAATCACAGTTCCTGGTGGCAACCAAGATTGCTATGCTCTGTTTTTTTTATATATATATATTCGGTTGTGAAAAATGGGAGAAAATGTTCTGGGCTACAACAGTCCACTGATCACCTGCTTGTTCATCCACTTATAATTTATAGATACCGTCTAGAAAAATGAAGTTCAAGAGTTTTCCTGTCCTTTAAGTTATGTTAAGTTTTGCATCTATCAAGCACAGTGCCAACATATTTTTATTCAAAATTGCCTCCCAAGCTTTGAACCTCCAGATGTTTTGGACTTCAGTTCGCAAAATTTCTGATTGTTGGCTAACTTCTGGAGTTGAAGCCTGAAACAACTTGGGAACAATTACATTAAAAAGTAGATGCTAGACTTCAGGAACCAGGATTCACCAAATAACATGCTGGACTAAATATTTAGAATCATCCTCTGTACAAAACCTGTTCACAGGAATCAGCAGGGTGAAAGTCAGAAAGATTCACACACACACACACACAGCTAAGGTTTTTAGGTGAGGAAGGGTGGGTAAGTTAGTTTTAATGGATGTATTGGTGGTATAAATGATGTACTGGAGAAATTACTGACTGTACAAATTGTATAATGATACATTGCTGAATATGTGTGTGTGTACAAGAAAAATCGATTCAAACATATTAATTTGTTGTTACTGCCAATTATTATCTCAACTCTCTTATAAGAAATGCAATTAAAATTTTATGAGAAAATTATCCACCACTAGATGGTACTGCAAGCAAACATAATGCAATGAAGTACTCTTACAACAAAGGAGGGAACAGATTAAAAATATGATACCCTTTGGCAGAGCCTAAATAGCACAAAGACACCAGATCTACCCAATATTGGAAACTAAGCCATTAGTACTTGAATGGGAACTGCCAAGGAATACCTGGTGTTGCTTGCTAAATTTCTAAAAAAGGCAATGGCACATCACCTAAGACTTCTTTGCCTAATAAAAAAAGTTTGAAATGTACAGTTTTACCATCAGTTGACAGGTGACTTCAAGTCACATATATGTATGGTTGCATTCTTTCTCTTCCTGGCATGGCAAATGCATGTGCAAATACATACTGACATGAAAAGATAACCGAACTCTATACAAATAATAAACATTTCCTCAACTATCATTGCTATTCAGTGTTGTAGCCATAAGGTGATTTTATTTTCTTTGTTTGTGTATTTTCATCCGCTTTTCTACCAGAAAACCTGATCAGTCTGGATAATACTTTTGCTCATTAGGCTACTTTACTACCTGTCCTCACTATGCTGCACTTGGGTTCGTTGATACCTATGTGCCTTAAAGCAAGTTCTATAGTGGTGCAACATACATAGGAATTGAAACTATGACTTAATGCAAGCAGCACTCTTAGGCGATACTCTTGTTTTATACCTTTCAAACTAGTTTATTCACTCTTTTCCCCCATGTCAGAAGTGACTAGAGAAACTGCAAGTCATTTCTGGCATGAGAGAATAGGCCATTTGCAAGGATGTGGCTCAGGGAAATCCCAGATGTTTGATGTTTTACAATCCTGTGTGAGGCTTCTCTTATGTCCCCACATAAGAAGCTAGAGCTCGACAGACAGGAGTTTACCCCACTCCCCGGATTTGAACTGCCAACCTGTTGGTCAACCAGTCCTACTGGCCAAAGGTAGCGCTGTGTTGAGACTGATGGGAATTGCAGTCTCACAAATTTTGGAGGATTACATGTTCCACACATTATATTATATGAAAAGAAATGGTATTCCTATTTTGTGACAAATTATTATTTCACTCTTTCCTATCAAAATCTGACCAACACTACATATCCAGTTAGATCCCTGTATCCACAAGGGATACATTCCAGACCATGGTTACCTGAAATTGTGGATATGAGTTAATGCCATTAAATTACCCAACTTCTGGTCCTAGCCTACCATAAAGTATTGTCCTCTAAATTGATGTGTCAAGCCTGTAGTCCCAGAATTGTATGTGTGTGTACATGTGTGTAATTTTAGATTTATAGAAACGTTCTTGAATGTACTTACCCACTTGTAACATCATCAGTCCTTATATTTTTCCCCAGGACATCTCCATCACTCATATAACCGGGAGCATCCATGTTGATGCCTTCAAGATCTATTTCCTCGCCGCCTTTTTCTGAGATATCCATGTGGCAAACATTACTGCCCCGAGATGCCAGCTGTCTTCTCAAAGGTGCTGAATACATGTAACGCCCTGATTCTGCATTGATAAACCGGCTGGCATTGGCTCTTGGAGGATATCCATTGCCGACTGAGGGAGCATCACCTGCTTGAAGTCGGGGACTCGACTGCCCAAGTCTCCAAGATAAAGGTGTTGGCCTTCCTGTCAAACTGAGAATACTACGTCCACTTATTTCCGTGGTGACATTGGTATCAAAAGTGGTCTCCAGTGTGCTTGAAGAAGAAGAAAAGAAAATGTAACAAATACTTACAGTGACAAAAGTCGGATATAAGTCTTTAAGATGCCTGGGGTGTGTAGCGGTTTTTCCTCAATGTGAATCAAAATCAAGTTGCACATTACTCACACATAAATATAGCATATCCCAAATTCACCAGATTGAGAAAAAGGAGGTATAAATATTAACAATAAAACCACAATATATTAGGCAATGTTTTCAAGATCTCCTTTAATACTCATCCAAGAAGATGGGAAGGGAGAATCCACTGTGGGCCTTTATCTAGGATATATACAGTATCTTAATGTTAATGTTTGTGTATTTTAGAATATAAATATGCCCCAAGGTGTATGAATGCTTGTTGATGCAGAATCAATGGTACTCACAACGCACAAGTACTCAGAGCCAGAAAACATGCTCACATTCAGTTGAATGTCTGTTTAGAGAAACAGTCAGCTTATTATTTTAATTCATAGACAGAAAGAAAACATATGCACATGCCATAGATTTTTAAAGAGTATTCTTGACAATTTTTTTGTCTGTTAAAAGAAGTTATTGTTTATAACTTTTCGGGTCTCAATGTTGTAAAATATTTCTCTTGTAGATATATTGGCATGCCAATTCTGAAACAAAAATACAGTTCAAGGGGACTAAGATAGCACCTCTTCCAGAATGAGTATTAATACGGTTGTATTTTTGCTGACACATTTGTCCATTACTAGCAATATTTGGTAATCAATATGTAACATATTTCTTCATATCTCTAAAATGTTACTAGGGTGCCCTAAATGCTCTCTGTTTTCAAAAATTGTACGTACTATATCACTAACAAAATTATAAGGCTTTGTTCATCCAAAGACCAGGTAGGAATTTAAGTTATGCACCTTATCAAGCAGGTCAAATATAGTTCAACTGCTTGTTTAAACACAGTACTGCCAATTTGGTTAAAGTGTATTAAAGTCTTTTACAAATAAACCTAAATAACATTCTCGATGGTAACCTTTGCACAGTTCTATTCAAACATCACCTCTTCTATTTAATGAACATTTCTATGGGACTAAACTTCTTTATACAGCAATCTCCTCTATGTTCTCCCACTGTCCAAACTTAGTCTTCATCAATCTCTCTATTATACTTTTAAAAGTGCACCAGGGTTTTGTTTTTATTTTAAAAAATGGAATAAAGCACAATGAATGCTTAGGCCAGTTAATATCTCACATTATCACTCTTAATCTTTCTCTGGGGCAGAAACAGCCAGAGTCAAGAACAGGCAAGATAGGCACACACAGTTCTACTTCTGTTTGAATAAAGAAGCAATTCATGCAATTCACCTGTGAGAGACCTGGGTTCCTCGTAGGCTAGACATGGTCTCCTCTAGGTTTTGTCGGAGATCAGCTATATTTTTGACAGTTCGTAATCGGCGGGTTTCAGGATCTTCCCCTAGAGGAAAATGTAATTTTTAGACAAAAAATAACTTTAAGACAAAGGGTAACTCAGAAAGGGTTTCCTTTTTGTGACCCAAATCCAACAGCTAGTACAAACTAGAGTAAACTCGTGAACTCAATGGAGTTTATTTATATGGACCAGCATCCCACAATTGATTCAGCAGGTGTCTTATAACTATGATTAGCAACTGAATTTAGGCTGCAAGTCAAACACATTTTCCTGCTTTTGTTTCCTTATCACAGTATGATCATGGAACATTTCCAAACAATATTTGTGTGTGAAAGCAAAAGAGGGGTTTCCAGATACAGTAGAGTCTTGCTTATCCAAACTTTGCTCATACAACATTCTGTATTATCCAACAGTCTGCTTCCTGCCCGGATCCACAGATATTTCAATACATTGCAATATTCTGATGCTAAATTCGTAAATACAGCAATTACTACACAACGTTACTGTGTATTGAATGGCGTTTTCTATCAATTTGTTGTAAAACATGATGTTTTGGTGCTTAATTCGTAAAATCATAACATAATTTGACATTTTATTGACTTTTCCTTAATGCGTCCTTATTATCCAACATTTCCGTTTATCCAACGTTCTGCCAGCCCATTTATGTTGAATAAGCAAGACTCTACTGTACCAGCAAATCTGTAATATGTCCCAACCAGCACATCATGGACATGTTTAGAATTAATCCTTTTTCCAAATTGAGAATAGCTACTATGACTTGCCCAATGCACATTAATCCAACATGAGCTTCCTGAATTATCATCTTAAAATGTCAGACTAAACTCATGTTCTGTCAGCTTGAGGAACAGTTAAGTGAAACTTTAAAATTGCCTGCCTATTTTGTAACTTTGATTTTGAGATTATTTGTTTATTTACTTTATACTTCATTTTTTTCTGCTAAGGAATTCAAAGGGGCTGGACTACTTTGGTTTTTATGAGAAACAATGATTTCAGCAGAGCTGGCTGCTTGGCAAATGCTTAGTGTATTTCAAAAGTATATATATTAAGCATGATAAACTTTATAGTTCAGGAATGGCTGACAATTAAAAAGTGCTGATAACTGGAAGGCAACAGATTTCCGTTTATCCCTTTTAACTTTCAGGGACTTGTGGAAGTATTAATACATTAATTTGACAAACCATGCAATTCACATCTGCATCGTGTCAAAATTACAGCTTTTCTCACTTGGCACTAAAAGCAAAGAATTAGGTGCTTATTTTGCATTACTTATAAAAGATCAGTTCTCAAGCAAGCTGCTGTAGAAGGAAATAGTGTAACCGTCACTGTTATGAGGGCCTAAAATGAAAGCTCATCAGCCAAGAAACTGTTACCATGAAATTTGATTTTAAAAAGAACCTTAGAGTAGCTATTCCAAATCTGCATGTTTTAATAATTTAGCTTGGAAAAATGTATTTAAGATGCCATAAGCCTCACAGGTCTTAAAATCATACCTATTCTTTTTGCATGTTTAAAATGCAGGTGTGTTTTGGTTTAAAAATTCAAAAGCAACTGAAATGTTGCATAATTGCTGGTGCTATAATCCAGCAATGACAGATAAATAATGTTTCAGGTGTGATACTAGAAGATAAATATGCAGTTTCACTTTGCCTGAGGAACGTACCAAAGGGAGGAATAAGAGGGCTCACCACAAGGCTGCTGGGTTATCTGCATAAATTCAAAATCCTTTTCATTAATTCCTTCCCCCAATAAATATTTTGCTTCTCACCCACCATTCATAAAATCATCTGTTCAATGGCAACTTTCTTTTTTCAACTGTTGTTATAAACTTTTTTCTACTTTTTGTTTCAAGTTCACATGCATCCTTTGTGCTACTATGGGCATATTGCTAACAGCACAAGGCCAAGTTGCCTGGAAAACATTCAAAGCTACTTCAAAGTTTGTTGCATGGCATTAGAATTGTGTGATAATATTATTGCCTGTAGATCACTACAGATTGTGTATTCCTTATCCAAACGTTTGTGATCAGAACCTTTTTGGATTTTTTTTTCAAATTTTAAAATACTTGTATTTACATATATGTACATAAGGTGATATCTATTATACGGGAACCCAATCTAAACATGAACGTCATTAATGTTTCATATATGCCTTAAACACATAGCCTGTTTTGTGGATGAAACAAAGTTTGTGTGCACTGAACCACCAGGAAGCAAAGGTGTCGTCGCTATTTCAGCAACCCATGTTAACAAATTTTAATTTTGAGGTGTTTTGGAGTTCCAGATAAGGAATACCCAGCCTGTGCCATGTAGTTAAGTACAGAATTCTGATCTTTCAACAGTCATTCAATTTTTTTTTCAAGAAAGTGGCAACACATAACTTTTCTAGCATGCTATAGTCTATGAAAACTCTACTGAGCTATAAGTGCTGCTTTCCTAAAATGGGTCTACATGCCTATGCATGGACCATCATAAATTACTCAGGTCTACTGAGGATCATATATAGTTCTCAAAAATAAACATTATGGAAAAAGCCATAACCACATGATAGAAGACTTCATGAACAGTAATTGTTAAGAAATAGCAAGTAACTGCCACTAGTTGTTAAGACACTGCTTTTAGGGACAGTTCACAGAACTTTCAGTCACCTCATCCGGGTTGTTTTTTACTTAAGGGAAAAAGCTGATAACAATTAATCAGGTGGTAATGCTTCAAGTCAGCTAAGTATCAATATCTTGAGCAGTAGGGATTGAAAACGAATACTAGGATTAGTGTCATCCCCCCACAATGTATTCAAGGAAGGGAATCTCTTTTAATTCAAGGGCTGAATTCAATTTCAGAAAAGTTCTCAAAGATGCATTCAAACTGTGGGTAACATCACGGAGAAAAGTGTGAATTCAAAAATATCATCTTGTGTGCCTTAATGCTTTTACCGCTAGCAATTAGGATGTCAATCTTGTCTTTTTAGTGATTTTAAATGACATTTTAACATTTAGCAACTTTTAATAGACCAAATAATTAATGTTCTAAAAATCCAAAGACATTAATGTCAATTGTTCAGGTATATCAAATGCTAATACTGATGCTCCCAAGCTCTGAAATATTAGAATATATAACAGTAGAGTCATAGCCTATATTCAATTTCCATTTTATGTCAAATATGGTGATGGGCAGAGTAGATAAGTGCTATTAGTTTGCAGTGGAGCCCCCAGTGGCGCAGTGGGTTAAACCCCTGTGTCAGCAGGACTGAAGACCGACAGGTCGCAGGTTCGAATCCGGGGAGAGGCGGATGAGCTCCTTCTATCAGCTCCAGCTCTTCTTGTGGGGACATGAGAGAAGCCACCCACAAGGATGATAAAAACATCAAATCATCCAGGCATCCCCTGGGCAACGTCCTTGCAGACGGCCAATTCTCTCACACCAGAAGCGACTTGCAGTTTCTCAAGTCGCTCCTGACACGACAAAAAAAATTGTTTGCAGTGAGATTTTACAAAAAAAACCCTCCAAACCGAGTCAAATATAGGAAGATTAAAACCTAGCAATCTAAACCTTTTGAAATCAATGTCACTGTATTTACACTGACTCCAAAAAATGAATAGAAATTGGCATGTGTGCAAAATAAGATATAACCATTTATTTGAATGGGTTTCATTGGACTCCTGAATTAAGAAAAACAAGAAAACCTGGCAAAAGAACTTAAATAAATACCACACATGTGACTATACAACACAGAATGCTTAATTCTTTAGGCCTCTACTTCTGGATGATTACCCTCTGCTCATCAAAAATGAAGACACTGAGAAACTTGGCTGTCTTGAGTCATTAGACTCATAAACACCAAGAGCTGTCATGTATCCAAGCCTCCCTCCCTACAGCATATCACTTAACCCCATATTTTATTTCTCAGCATTAATGGAGTCAACACAGTCAAGGGATCCCATGCCTTACCAGAAAGATCTTCTAGAATAGGCTGTCCAGTTTTAGTGTAAGGAGCAGAATCCATGCTTGTGCTCACTCCTCCTGTGCTGGGCTCAGCCGTCACATTTCCTTCATTGTCTGTCTGGGATCTTAAGTGCAAAACAGAAAGACATAGAGAGGAAAATGTAGTCATTCATATGCCAAAAGGAAATTCAGCACCAATACAACAGCATTTGCCATCTAGCATTGTGTCCTCTCCCCAGGATACACTAGCAGACTGACTTTACATAATTCATTAGTCCCATGTTGAGCTATGTCCTAGAAATGGAAATAAGCACTGAACTGTAAAAAAAATGAAATATTCACTGTCAAATACGGCGTTTTAAAGCCTTAGAGTGGCCTTTCAAATATCTCCAATTTTAAAATAAGTAACCAGTCTGCTCAATAACCTAGACTGATGATGTCTCAAGGTCCAGCTATCACATCTGATAATAGATTTAAAATTTTGGAATGAAATGTGAATGATTCTGTTAATGACTTGTTTTCCTTATTAAAAACTCAAATCACCCAGATTTCCTCCAAAGGAGATTGTGGTTTAGTCATGTACAACAAACTTGTGATGTACACTACTTTGGTCCAAGGCCATGGAATAGCCTTCAGAAGTGACCTCGGTTGTTCATATTTAATCTTGTTCATACATTTCTTTGAGTAGCATTCTGATAGTATGGTTGAGCACTCTGCTTCTTCTTGCACATCACGAGACTGTCTGCTCCGCTACACTGAGAGTCTATACATTCCTCTACTTGAGTATCAATTCTTTTGGAAGCCAGGTTCATACATTTCGTCCTGTTTTAAAGGGTGTAAAATGCAAACACAAACTGAGACTCTTATGTGACCAGGTGCTCTTCTGTAAGGCCCAGTCTGTAATGCATGCTATCTGCACCAGTGAGAGAGTTAAGCCAGGCCCCTACCATGCTATTTCTGTACTGGCTTGACTGAATGTATACAATAAGATCATATTCAGTGCTTGGCAGAGTTACTATTTTGGACTGCAGTTCTCATGCTTTCCCAAGCTGGCATATCTGTCCAAAAAGGAACTTTTTCAAAATTCTGTTATTGGCAGTGAAAGCCAAGTGATAACAAATTATGGATAAAATTGGTCCAACAGATAATCAGATTATGAATTAAGCTTTCAATAAGAGTTGCTGGGTGTCAGCTATGTTTTGTCTGAGCTCAAATTCACCCTCATGCACCATGGCAGAGCCCACCGTAACATTGCCGCCAAGCTGGAAATGACATTATGTCACTTTTGGTTTCACTTAGAGTATTTTTTGCTGTGTTTTGGAGGCAAGGGGTAGGAAAAGGAAGCTTCTTTCTTTAGCAGTAGTTTGGGGCTATCTGCTGTAAACAACATGAAATGCTGCAGCAAGTTTTCTTCAAATATGTCCTTAGAAAGTGGAGGCTTCTAAAAGTGGGGCCTTTTGCCCACCCTGATCAATATTTAGCCATGGCATGATGTAGATCCAAGTCTAGCATGGTATGAGAATGAACTTCAAGTGATCACACAAACCTCAGCCACATGAGCCTCTGAAGAGGCAATTCCTGTTGACAGAGTAGATTACATGATTTTAATTGATGTTTTAATAATTAATGTTTAATTGAATGGTTTTAATTGTATTTGTTTATTTTTATATTTATATGTGTTGGCATCAAAACCTTGCCTGCTGTAAGGCCGTCCTGAGTCCCCTTTTAGGGTGAGAATACCAGGATACAAATATATGAAATAAATAAATAAATAAATAAATATGCAAAGCAGCCCCTCTACATCATGTATTTCCCTAGCTTACTTCTTTCATGGCAGGTTCATTGGTTAATACTTTCAAGAACAATTCACATTTTACTTATAATGTCCTACCCAACTTTTCATCCATCCTATTGCATTAGGGAATGTCACCTTGCCTGATCTTTGAGATCTTAGTGGAGGTTCATTTTTCAATCCTACCACCTAAAATAAATGCTTGGTGGTAAAGTAAGAGAATATTTTCCAAATTGGTCTCCCTATCAAAGAGGGCAAGTGTTGTCCTTCTGCCTGAAGATAGGCATATTTATTTAAGCAAGTATTAAGTAATTCAAGAGGAGTTCTACAAAAAAAGGCTTCAACAAAAGTGTGCTGCTTTATATTTAATGACTGATTTTAATCAGTTTTGTGTGTTAATTAATCGATGTTAGGTTTTAATTATATGTAATTGTCTTGACAGCTACACTGGCTGCCAATTTTGAAATACAAAGGTAGGATACAAGTGTAGATAAATAACTAACCATCAACAGTTTAAATATCCTCATGCTTTCCAGATGCATGGGATTACAATGCTCAGAACCTCTCAAGATAATAAGTGGAAAAAAGATTGACTAAGACCGACTTTTGAATGCAGTAATTAATGGCAAAGTTCACTGCTTGTAGATTATGTCCTCTGATTTTTCATATCCATTTAAATCAGAGAAAAGGAACAACTATCACCCCCACCTCCCCTCAGCGTCATTATGTACGGCTGTTATGTGCCTTCAAATAAACTCTAACTGTTATTTGGTGGTCAGCAGGATTTAATCACATAAAATTTGGCCAAAAGTGTGTGATACCACCCCCCCGGTCATGCAGTGGGTTTCCATTGAACCATGTTGATTCAAGAAGTATCACTATATGCACAACATTGTTATAGATACATTTAAATTATAAACTCAGATCAGCCTCTTGTTGTAAAGATTGGACCTTTTGAAAACTAAATCACCACATTACACATATAACATTATTTTTAGCCTACACACATGTAGCTGAGTCAACATGGTTTTCTTTTCACATATCTTGCTATTTTTATCTTTTACAGCTAACTTGAAATGAAATATACGGGAAGGGGAGGCGGGAGGGAGGGAGAAACAGCAAGGAGAGATCCCTGTTCCATCTACACAGTAAGAGTTGTTTCTTACTGGTCCTATCTTGCTTTATAAATAAACACATAATGATCAAACCTACTACAGCATTTTTCATAGTCTTCCTAAAAAAGCTGACTGTGTCAAAAGGCACAGGCCTGACACACCATGCTTAAAAAGATAGTCCTACCTGTACATAAAGGGTGCTACTGTGGCAGTGTTTGGGTGGCTGTATTGCTGTTGCGGATGAGGTAGCTGAACACTCACAGTATTGCTTCCTGTGGTCTGGGTCATACTGCTTGTTGGCCCATTGACAGCCTGAGTGCTGTTGCTAGTGCTCAGAGCAGATGCCCCTCCTATTCCCCTGCCTTCAGAAGAGGCCAAGCTTGACGTGGAACTTGAATTCCTCCCGTCTAGCTGGGTCTTCTGATGAGAGAGGCCCGAGGCAGGCTTCCCACTGCGGCTTCTCTCGCCTTCTTTTCCGGAGCAGTTTGGGGCACTTGTGGATTTCCCTGTGGTGTTTTTCATCCCTGGTTTTGGTATTCCACTGTGGGAAGGGGCAGGTGCCTCCTTCTTGGTGCTGTTTAGCTTTCCTCCTTTGGGAATAAAGCTCGCAATCTTGGAGGATTTTTTTGGCATCTCTGTGGTAGCTGGTGGGATCTGTTCTTCTTTCAGCTCCTCTTTCAGGTCGGCTCTTTCCGTTACAGAGGTTCTCTTTGCAGCATCTTTGTTTTTGTCCTTTTCTTTATCCTTCTGCTTCTCTCTTTCTTTCTCATTGCCCTTTGGGGAACTCTTTTTATTGGTCAGTGCCCGGCTAAATGTTCTTTGTGCAATTCCCTTAAGTGCAATTTTGGGACTATTAGAGGTTGGTCCTGGATTGTTCACATTCCGATTTGCAGCATCTATTTCCTCACTTTCTTCAAAGCTTGGGAGGGCTTCTAGTCTTTCACAACTAGTGTCCCGAGATACTGGGCATTCAAGGGATGGCCCTCCTGCTTTGGATCCACCTTTTGTATTGAATAGTTTCAGCTTCTCAAGCATAGATTTCTGACCATTGGGAGTTGTTTTGACCATCTCTGGAGAGGGTTTTGGAGACTCTTGAACCTGCTGCTTTACTGTTAATGTGGAAGAAGTGGCAGTGTGCTTCGCACTCAAGGACTTGCTGCGCCAGGGTTTGACAGCGGAGTTGGGCTGGGGGATTGCAGAAGAGCTATTGCAACTAGCAGTACTGGGGCTGCTGATGCTTTGGACTGAAGATGGTACATTTTCATTCATCCCTGTGGGCTGTGAGGCTAAGCTGTCTGCTGGCTCTGTAGAGGGGTGAGGGGAGGAAAAAGATTGTTGTGATGAGAAATCTTCAAATGGACATAGTTTACTTTTGCAGTCAAAGAACAGACATTTAACAGCAACTGAGAAATATTTAGATATTGCTTTCAGACATCATTTATCCCCCCCCCCCAAAAAAAAAGATAGTAGCATTATCTCAAGTAGTTACAACTGTTACAGGTTTCCTTCTTGCATTGTATTTATTGTAAAGGCTGCAGGCAAGGACCATCTGTTTCTTATTGCTACAAACTGTCTATTCTACTTCTAGGCACTTACTAATAATACAGATGAGTTTTAGAGGCTATGTAATAACATAGCCTCTAATGCACAAACAAAGGTACAAGATAAATGAATGTCAAATTATTATACTGAAACAAAACTGGAAAACTGAAAATTTTGTTTCTGCATAGGATCCAAACTTTTTGATTAGCAAGGTGTTAATAAACTGTTAATTGTGTATGTTTCATCTCTACAAACTAGTATTACTATTTTACAGTTAAATATTACTGGGTAAATTCAGTGTTTTTTACATAACTTCCTTTTCTCAAATGTCATGTATATGGCCTGAGAAATATATAAATAAGCCTACTGCTAGGATATAACAAAAGTAGTTGTGCTGAATCTCATTTCTTGGCAAACTCCTACATGTATAACAAAGCAAACGAAACAAAACACACAGAAATTTACCACAAGATTCCTCAGATAACCATTCACTCAGTTTCAAAGTCTATTAAAAGCTGAACAAAACCCAAATCTAGAAAACTAAAACTCATCATATCTTTATTCCAACATCAATGGTAAATAATACAATTTATCTCAAAATTCAAAGCAGCTGAAGTAGTAAAAGCTAGCTGAAAATGCTTTCTTGACAATTCTCATTTTTTTCTGTTTGAAGGCATTTCTTTGCATTTTCTAATCAGAGAGAGAGAGAGAATTTTCCATACTTACTCACCTTCTGAGAGCCACATCTTTTCTAAACATATGCCTGGCAAACTGTCTCTTCTGGAGACATTACATCGTAATTACTCCAAATATATCTTCAGGTTACGTTGCTCATGTTTCCAATTAACTTTGTCATCCTTGACTGTTAGCCTGCCCAGAAGCTAGCTTGGGATTAACGTATTTTACCTGCAGTCTTGGATTCTCTAGCTATAAACTGCATATACTGAGTCTTAAGGTTCCTCCACCCTTTTTTTGAACTTAAAAATAAACAGCGACTGACAGCAAATGTTTGCAGCAGTTTGGAACGGCAAATACATTTCTATGAAACCCAAGCTGAGGAAGTCAGACAGAGGCTGTTTGAATTCACTTTCCACCACTCACTGAAGATTTGATTCTGTTAACCTCACTTGTATGATCTGTACCAGACTGCCTCATATTTCCAAACATAGCCATCATCCTTACTTAGCAGATTTAGGTTTCCTCTTGTAATAAAGCTCTTGGTCATTTCACACTGTTACATCTTAACTGAAAAACAGATGTGTATGCTTGTTTTATTGAAAGGAGGCTTTTCTAGAAGACTTCCAGTGTGCTGGATTATAAAACCATAAATTGTTAAATGAATGGTCTCTATTGAAGTTCCACCCAATCTAGAAAAGCTTACAACAGGAGTCAGAGGAAGACCCAAGTCTCAATACCCCACAGTTCGGATCAGATGGATAAAAATGTTGACTATGGTGCACCCTCCATATTCACAGATTCTGCATCTACAGATTCAACCATCTACAACTTGATTTTAAAAAAAACTCCAAAGTGCACACTTTGGTTATGTCTTTTTATAGACGGGACACTATTTTACTATGCTATTCTAAATGAGACTTGAGTTTCCGTGAATTTGGATCCATTTTGAGGTGCAAATGGCAAGAAAACTGGTATTAAATGAAGAACAGTGCTTGCCAGAAGGCCTTTGGAAACACAGTTCTCAATTTGTGCTTCATTTTTTTCAGTATATAGGAGGTCAGAAGGCCAACCAACTTTTAATAAAACCCCAAGCTGCAAGACAACCCAAAGATCTGCATAACCCACACACCCAATGCACAGCAATATGTGTACAGACAGACCAGCTGAATCTTAGGGATAGTATGTGCATTACTAATTGATCTACCCTTAAGGTTTCTAAGGATGGTAGTTGTTTGAGAACTTGACTACAACTTTGGAGACCAGAATTTGAATCCATGATAAACCATGAAACTCACTGTGTGATTTTGGAGAAGTCACACATTCTGAGTGGAAGACAATGGCAAACCTCTTTTGAACCAATCTTACTATGAAAATCTTGTGAAATGTTCATCTTAGGGTCACCATAGGTCAGAAATGCCTTAAAGGCACACAACAACAATATTTCTAAGGGTTTCTTTGGAAAATACATGGTCCATAATTTCAACTGTGCCAAGAATACAAGCATGTGAATAACCAATAGCCTAATTATTTATTATTGGTGAGGAATAATCTTTTTTCTGTATTGGGCCTCCAAGTTATTTCAGATTTCAGGTGAACCCAGCATCCTAGAAAAGGCAATTAAAATACATCAAAACAGCTGTCAAGGTTATTCTGCTCATGTACCATAGCAGCAGTGGAATACAGATATATTAGCAGGCATTCTGGTGGAACTGAAATTTCCTAATCATTCTCCTCTCCATACAACATAAGTGCATTTTCAAGAGCTTTTTAAAGGAGAGGAGGGTGGGTGCCATTTTTTTTATTTCTTTGGGGAGGGAGTTCCAGAGATGGGGAGCCTCCTCTCTCGTTCCCACCAGCCTCACAGGATGGTCTGTACAGGGAGATGTGAGAGGGCAAATAGCCTGGACCCAAACCGTCAGGCATACTGGTCTTCATTTTTGTGTGTCCTATTCTTCAAGTTCACTAACTATATGCAGCCAGTGTTCACTTATCCCACTAAGTTCAAATTCTCTAAATTTAGCTGCTATTTGCTTAAATTAAAAGATCAGGGGCAATAATGTTTTACACATGTACATAGCTTGGTATCATTTATAGCTTATTCAGCTTTCTTCCTCGAAAAACTGTGTCACTTTAATCCTTGCAGATTTAAAGCAACCATAGTTTAAATAAAAGAGATTGCACCCATAACTATTTTGTATAGGGCAGAGAGGGATTACTGATTCTCCAGATCTTTCACATATGAAGGGTCATTTTCTCCATTTTAACACACTGGCAAAATGGAGTCCCATGGAGGTCATCCCATAACACACTGTCACTTCCGGTGGCTCCTCTTGGGAATCAGTGTTGCCAGCATGTTAAAACAGAGAGAGTGCTGGACCACTCTCACAACCACCATGTCAGACTACACAGAGAAGCCATTGAAATCCACAAGCATGTGGACAATTTCAACAGAAAGGAAGAAACCATGAAAATGAACAAAATCTGGCTACCAGTATTAAAAAACTCAAAAATTACAACAGCAAAACAACAGAGGGGAAACAAACAGGCACATAAAATCACTCTCAACAAAAGATTCCCCCCAGGCGCTTCCAAGCCATTGAATGCAAATCAAGGTGATCAGCTGAAACATTCACAGCTAGCCCCAGAAGACAAAAGTCCTTTGTCTCACCCTGGTCATTCCACAGATATATAAACCATTTTCCTACTTCCAACAGACCTCACTACCTCTGAGGATGCTTGCCATAGATGCAGGCGAAACGTCAGGAGAAAAATTGCCTCCAGAACATGGCCATATAGCCCGGAAAAACCTACAACAACCCAGAGAGAATATTGTGTTTTCAGGAGTTGGGTGCTATTCCAGAAGATAGGGAAAGATGGTAGGGAACGAATTAAGACAGCTGTCTCAGCTTTTTTCCATTTTTCAACTGTCAATGTGATGAGGTCCTTGGAGATATAAACAGACACACTGCACTGTTACACCAGTGTAAGACACTTTTGATGCCATCACCATCAAATGTTACTCTCCTGACTCCTGAGCCGCTTGGGAGATGGCAAAGTAGTTATTTATCCTGGCAAAGTCAACATCCTACAGTGCATACCGCCTCCATCCCCATCCCTATGGCATTAATTGCCATTTTTATTTCTTCACTAAGATCCTTGTTATGTCAAGCTATTGTTTTTCTTCTGTTTCCTTTTTTAAACAATACATGCTTGAATGTGTCCAGATAAAAATTAGCGTGACACACAGACAAACCCTGTACCAAAAGCACCATTTGCGCATTCAATTGCTATTAACTAATTCTTTGATTAGCTATGTACTGCTTGTTACTAGAAAAGTTAGCTCATGGGACCGTGAGAGTACAATTACTTTTAACAAACTAAAAAACTCTGTGGTTTGTGTCTAAGAATTTGTAGACCAGGGTTGAAAACCCCGTTCAGTCATGAAACACAGTGGGTGACCTAAAGCAAGTCACAACTCAGTCTCAGGGAGAGACTATGTAAAAAAAAAAAACAACAACCCGTCAAACAAATCTTGTCTTGAAATCCTATTGGGGGTGTCCAATAGAGAAGCAATATTTCTGAAATAACTTGAGGGCACACAACAACAATTTGCTGAAAACTTCCTTTTTCTGATGGATTTTCTTGGTAGCAAAGGTGTCATTTTCAAAATCGAATGGTTAGCGTTCAGATCTATAAATTACTGCCAGTCCCTGTTATAGTTGCTGAAAGAAAAAAAAATACCACAACCCTCAATCCTGTTATTTCTCGTAATTTCATTTACACTGTACTTCCACCATGTCTCCTCAAGAGGATGTTGAACTCTGAAATTCCACCTTTCTGATAGTTGGGCTACATAATTTGCAACTAGACCATTCTTGTCCATCAGTTGTCAATCTCTGAAGTCAAGGGAGAAAGTAGATGTGTGAAGAATCATACAAGAGGGGCTCTTGGTATCTCCTGGGGCTTGGTTCCAGGGCCTTCCATGAATGTCAAAATCTATATATATGCTCAAGTCCTATTATACACAGTGACACAGTAAAATAGGTGTTTCTTATATAAAATGCTAAACTGTGCTTTTCTATTG